AGAGTATGCCATTGAGTGAGCGCGGTTTTTTGCTTTATTTGAGGAAGAAGTTTTTTGCCTGCCGCAGACGCGGGCAATTGGAGCAAAAACTTTTACTGCTGACTTTTTGGAGCCTAAATTGCATACGTATGGGTATGTATGTACATATTAGGGCAGGGAGTTCTATTGGTATATATGTTATTAAAAAGTCAGAATATTTTCGAATCTAAATATAAGAATAAAGTAGCAATTTGTGTATTAACAAAGTGCGCTATTTTCCCTTTTGAGAAAAATCTTACAAATCCGTTCAAACACATTTTAGAAAGTACGGATAAAAAAATGAGCAAATATTAACCGAATATTCGGATAAGAAAAAGAAACGGATGTTAACCGGATTTCCGGATTTTATCCGTATACACGAATAGTCAAACGGATATGCGGAAATTCGAATATACGGATAGGGCCAGCTCTAGTGTGACATTGCATTGCAAAACATTTGCAGCATTTTGAATTTCTTCATTGGGTTAGCTCTGGAAACATTACTTTTGTTGTAACGCTAACCCTAACTTTAGAAGCACATTTGATGTGAATTCTAATACTGTATATTTATTGGCCAATTAATTTAATCAGAAGAATCTTAATAAACAGACATTGTATAATTTTAAAAAGCCAGAAGTTTTGTCCTCCTGTCATAATCATCTGCGCTCTCACATGCATCGGATTGTCGTTCTGACCACTGATATGGAATGCTGTATATCCCTTGAAGACAAAGAGATGTCGCAGAACATTGTATGTCATTTTTAACAACAGTCGAACCTCCGCTCCAACCGACAAAATTCGCACAGCGATTTTGTTCTGTTTATACTTTTTATTAGAAAAGATCTTGGGCTGTGAGGGTTAGGAACATGTCGTAGGCATCTTCTTGATCGAATTGCTGTTCTGTTACACCCATTCTATTTGCGCTCTACGCACCAATACTAAGAAGGCGGTGATGAGAAGGCAACATGTGTTTTTTTATAGAAACGAAAACGCCATAACTAAGCTTCCTTGGTTTTAAAACTTTCTTCAATACTTTTTTAATGTATGTAGGTATAAACAGATTTCAAAGTTTAAAATATTGTTGAAAAATTTTTAAATTGAAGATAATTTCATTTCAGAATTCAAAATTGAGTTTAGTGGTCAAAGGAGGGCACTTAACTAGCCCAACGTGATCTTAGAAGGATAAATGTTAATAAAAAATACAAAAAAGTCATAGCGAAAAGTAGTACATTTTTGCTATTTTTAGAAAGGATTAAATTTTGTATGGTCACCTCACGCCGTAAAACTAAAGGAGGGGAGCGGGTTCAAGTCCACATGGAGATGTTGTTAATTTTGCAACTTCCAAATAGGCAATATTTTTTGCAGCGTTTCAAATAAAAATTAAATAGATTGCTAAGTCTATGCGGTAAACTTTGGACAATTTTTCTTCCTTTTATCTTTCATTTAAGTCCAGCAAAAGCAGCACTCATACTGAATATGCATTTCTTTGGATTTTATTTCTCAGATTAGTGAAAACCTTAAGCTCTCCATCGCAGTTCAGGTGGTAATTTTTAGCGAAATTTTTTAAATATGTATATTAGGGCGGGTAAATTTGTGTGGAAGATTTTTTCGACTATGCGCGTATAGCAGAGAAGGATTCTACGTGTAATTCTAACACAATTTATCGATGAAACCATGCGTATAAAATCAATTTGGCGTTTGCCAAACTGCGAAACTGGGTTTCTTATAGCGTTTTCTTTCCTACCGAAAAATGTTGCCTTCTTAGTATAGTAAAAAAAATTACCCGCCCCAATGTACAATTTTTTTTTATTATGATTTAACTTACGTAATATAACACCGTGTAAAAAAAAAAAAACAAAAAATTTTAAAACGACGAAACATTAAATATACTCACGTAATTATGGGCCACTGCGTTTTTAGTCTTTTCTCTCTATCGTCAGAACTTATAAGGACTTCGAAATGTCAAAAATATAATTAATTCAAAAAATTATTTATACAATTCAGTGCAGAACAATAAAATGGGTAGCAAAAGAAAACAATATTTTATAGAATTTAAAAAAATCAAGTATTTTGGGTCGAAAATGTATAGAAAATGCCCTCTTGATTAAGTTTATTCTTTTAAGCAAATAAAGTTAAAAGGGCGAAATTCGAGAACATGGTCAAAAATACATATCTTTAAGAGAAAAATTTTAATATGACTGTTTCGGTACCAACATATTCGTCTGTATTTAAACCTTTTTAATTCTACAGCATTTTAGTTTTTGTATGATACTCATATTTTTACATTATACTATCGATTTGAAATCGGTGCGGTTTGCAAAATATTTTTGAATATTTCAAACGGAAACTAGACGGACAGATGCATGTGGGTTATTGGAAAATCGCATTAGCTTATATCGTTAAGATAGAGGACAAATATTTGGTAGCTATGGAACTGCTTTTATACCATATTCCATTTATGTTTGTAGAAAATTTATTGATAAGACACAGCGCCAAGGTCAAGCATACGCCCCCTTTTCATTTTTGTTGTCTTCACGAATTGGTTCAAGAAGGCATAAGCCTTTAGAAATGCTGTGGTGTCACAAAGGACCCGATTGTAGGTATCTTACTACCAGCATGTCTGTATGTGGTAAAACCAGCTGCCACTTGAACCTAAAGTGAAAGTGTATTAATTGCCTTGGAGAATAATTTGAAGAACAATGAAATCAGAAAGAGCATAAAATTAGAATAGAACAAAAAATGAAGTTAAAAATGGCACAACGCCGAAAACGGTTTGTCTCTATGCGTTCCAAAATACATCATCTTATAACCCTATTGGAAGAAACAACCAATATAAAAAAACAGTGGATGCAATACTCGTATCTCAGTTACATATGAATCTTTACGATAATTATATGTACATATTTCTACCGGCCATAAAGTTATAGCGATTGGCTGTGATTCAAAAATTTTACTCGAAACGTTACGCATACGCCCCTGTAACCTCCACGAGCGTTGTATGTATTTGGCTATCGAGAAAAGTTTTCACGACATAGGATGCCGTTATAAGCGTCAACGTCTTTCATAAAAATTTTGATAAAACAGCAAAAATTTGGGAAAATTACAATTTAAGGGCATACGCGTGCATACACCACATATTTGGAACTATTGAGGCACGGCAGTAGTTAAAAAAAAAATAAAGAATTTAGTAAGCTTGTAGCCCTTTCTCTATGTATTTACATACGCACGGGTGTATGCATGGATGTATGTGTGTAGACGGAAAAATCACCCACAACACCATTTTCCCAACTATTCCCCTTTGCAAACGCTCGCTAGACCCACAAAAATGCGTTAAAATAAATGGATAGACATTACTAAGCAGACTGGCAACTTTTTGTTTACTGCCTAAAAATAATCGATAAAATTGTTGAGGTGGGTTAGGAAACTGTTACGCGTATGAAACGAGTCTACAAATACAAACTAATTTATGTATGCATGTACATATGTATGTATGTTAATGTGCATATAAATATACTAAATATGTGAATAACGGCAGCACAGCACTACTATGGAGTCTCAGTGAGAGAGAGGCGCGTGAGCGGCACACAGTGCTGCCTTCGTTGAATGGGGCTCTTTGTTGCGAATGCGTCCAAAAGTACCAATGGTAGATTTTTCAATATACATTTAACTATACGCGTATGACCACATACATATGTACATACATACATAAAATAATATACATATATATAAATACATACATATGTAAGCTCATGCAAAAATGTGAGTATGTGTGTGACTATTAAAATGCGGCGGCAAGTCTTAGTTTCACAGCGGAAATTACGATATTTCAAACTACAATTTTGTGTGTTATTTTTATAGATTTTGTTTTTTGTTGTTTTGTTTTTCTTCTCACTATTCGCCGCTTTATTTTACAAAAAAAAAAAAAAAATAAATACAAAAAACATACACAAAATTGTTGCTGGTTAGTCGTTTGGTCGGCCGGTTGGCTGGCTGGCTGATTGTCTGGATGTCTGTCTGGCCGTATATTTCTCTACTGGGTTAGCTAGTTGCTGGGTACGGTGGTTCGTCGGTCGGTGGTTGGCAAATTCAGTGGTTTCGTCATATTTTCCTGCTTAGTTGGAAAATTTTTTGATTTACTTATATACATATTTATTTATTTTCCCATTCATGTTTAAGTCATGGCATTAGCTGAATGCGAGATTGAAGCACAGAAACATTTCAAGATTTTTAACTGGCGTTGACTCATAAAACTACGAGATTTGGCGAAATTGTTATGAAACATATATTTAGAAATGAAACGACGTGAAATGCGTAAATTTTAGTCACGGCAATGAAAATATAAAAATCGTAATTGATTATGGAATTTATGTTATTGCTAAAAATTGTTAATAGAGTTCGGTGCCATATTTTTATGTTACAAAATCAGGTTACCCAAAGTAAAGACTCAAACTTTTTAATAAAAAATATGATTGAAGGGCAGAAAAAAAATAAGCAAAGAACGGAAACATTAGACTAGAGATGGCACAACGTCGAAACCCGGCCCAAAATCTTCATATTCAAAACCCATAACATTTAAAAAATTTTTTATTATAATTCTAAATTCAAAAGTTCTAAACATTTTTTTTCGACAACATGAGCCTACATAAAGCTAATAACAGAACTCAACATGTATGAAAATTTCGAATATATTTATATTCGTAGCCGCTCGAGTCCTGTAAAGCCACTTGCAAAGAGCATGCGAAAATCGAACCAATCAGTGGATTCAATGACAAGCCTTAAACCGGAGCTATAAATAATAAAAAAAAAATTGACTTACTCCTATTAAGTATGTACCACGTCGGCAGGATTTCAAATCGCAACCATTGCATTAAAGAATAAAAGCTTTTACTGTGAGTTTGCTGTTTTTACTGCTCTCAGTGTATACATATTCATTTAAATATTCATAAGAGTTCTAGAAAAAATGCTTCAAGTTCTAAACTTACAGTATCGCTTCATTAAATTCTTCTTGTACGCCGATCGTTGTTCTGCCTTCAATTGGGCGTGCTCACCCTCCGTTACGCCAGAGCCCGAATCTTCCGACTCTGTTTCCGAGTACGCACGATCACGATTGCGAAGTGTTGTTGCATTCACCGACAAATCCAATGGGCAATCTGCTTCCTCCTCTTCTTCTTCTTCGCTATTATAGTTTCCCATCGAGACTATACCATCCTCCTCGACAGCGATATTCTCATCCTCTTCCTCCTCCTCCATCGCCTGCACAGCATTGCCATTCTGTTGGTCTTTGCTTTTCCTTCGTATGGGTGTATCGCCGCATTTGCGTGTGGCCAATGTTTCCACATCACTCTGACTTTTGCTCGTGATTACCGTACGTCGCACCTGTTGACCCAACTCGCCAAACATTTCGCACTCCTTGTCGGTGGCACTAACTGAGGATATGCGCTCAGTGTTGTTGTCGACATATTTATGTTGTCGCAAATGATTGTAAAGCACCGTAAATTCTTCTCGACAGTTAAATATCCTTTTAGGTTCTGTTACAGGCGCAGCTTCAGGTAGTAGTGAGGGGGAAGTTTGCGGACTGGACGCTGTTGAAACGTTGCTTTCGTTGTTGTCATTAGTGGCAGGTGAGCTTGATAACGGCACAGGACTTTGCCTTCCTTGCGTTGTGGACTTGTGTGAATCTATGGCACGAATTAATATCTTGTCTTCACTGCTGTTGTTGTTATTGTTGTTGATGTTAGTTGAACGCCAATTCTGCTCATCACTGCGTCGCTCCAAGTTCCCATCGCCATTGTCTTGCTTTGCAGCTACACTGTAACAGTTTGTAGTGGATTTTTCGTCATTCGAGTTGCTTCTTGTACTGGTACCTGTGTTGTTAATTGTGGGGGATGCTAGCGGAGACACACTTTGCTGGGACAATGCTACTGGCGAGGGTGAACGTGCAGGCGAAGATAATGCATTCGATGCGAGCGATGCTGACGATGACAGAGAGGACACTGAGGATGACACGTTGTGCGTGGACGGTGGTGACGAAGGGGTGGGCGATGAGGAGCCCGCCGATGACAATGCCGCCTGGCTGACTAGCGTATGCGCTGCATTGGCTGCCACCAGGTGTTGCACCATAATCATTATGAAACTATTGTTCAGTTGCGCTCTACTACCTGTGAATGCCGTTGTCTGCTTTGGTTCTTCCAAATACCGGGAGTCTTTGTTTTTTTTGTTTGTCTAGAATTCAATGGTTTAAATGACCGGGATCTAAGCAGACCATTCGAAAATGGCTTGTCGGCGTATTTGATTTCCTGGCCGTTGCTGTGATGTACGTTTCCAAGTTGAGTAGTCTTAAAAAGTACTTAAATATTTTTAAATATTATACGAGTTTTTATTTAGCAGACATTGTTAACACCAAATCGATTTCCTTTTTGACTTTAAATTTACTAAGATTTTTCCATCAACATCCGTGATTTATTTCATATTAGTTTTTCAACTTTTTTTTGCGCCGAAATGTCTTTTTTGTAAATTTTTTTTATTAACATATTTTCAAAATTTAGTTACCTTTCGCACAGTTTCTAGTTATTTTTAAGGATATTAATTATCATTTGCACATTTTTATATTTTGGATATAAATTTTAGCCGAACTAAATAGAGTTGATTTATATTAAATTTTCCTTAAATTTGTGGTTGCAATCGTTTAATTTTGTAACTCTTGTTGCCGTTGCTGTTTGCCACAAACTTTTGTACCTGAGCGTCGTCGATAATTTGCAATTTTTGAGGTATTTTGTTTGTTTTGTACATTTGGATAGGACGTTTGATTTTAAAAACTATATGTGTTCACTTAAGAAATCCGAATAAAATACCAAAGAAATGTTCTTCTTGAGTACAAAATATGCATGTATGTATGTATGAATAGACCTTACATCTTAAGAAATCACCACAACATTTTTACGCCACTTGTTTTCTGTATAAAACTTTTCATTTGCACTCGAGTCAATTTTATTTATTATATTTTGTCTTCCGTTTGATGTGTCCGTCACGACGATTACTAAAGTTAATTCCACCGTATGCCAGCAGTTGCTGTTGGTTTGCCCAACAGGCACTGTCTGCTCGCCTTAGAATGCACTGCGCGGATTATAGAACACAACGAAACACACACACACCAGCAGAAGCAGAAAATGCACTCACGGACAACCGAAATTCATGCTCGAAATGCATTATCTGGAGAATAATCGAGCACTCGAAAATCTTTGTGTCATCGCTACTATGAGAGTTAAGTTTATGCATTAGCCACACCTGTGAGACTGTGCCAATTTTTTAGTTTCTTCGATTGCAGCAGCAGTGCATCCGGGCATTAATCAAATCCGCAACCAACAAACAGTCACGATTTTTAGAATCTAAATAATTTTCATTTTCATTTCACATGTTGAATACTTATGTAGTATGTACAAATACATTTTCTTTTATTGAATATTAATATTAGCGCAATGGTACATATGTGGATATATTGCAAAACGTTCACTTAAGTTTCTTAGCTAGCTGGCAAGTTAGTTGAGGTACCATCCGCGTATTGCAATTTTTCTATTATGATTATGTCGAACGCAAACGTCGGTTATCTCTTACGGTATCAGCGAAACTGAAATTGTAGTTTAAACTCTAAGTCGATTACAGTCGAAGTAACAAAACGCTGTAGCTAGCGACTAGCAAGCAAGCAACTGCTACGATTCACCGACGACGACAACGAAAACAGCAACAGAAATGGCAGCAATGGCAACGACAGCGGCAACGGCAACGGCAACAGCGCGAAGGAAACACTTCGTACCTACATACATCAATACATACTTAGATATTTCGTATGATACGTTTGTATGCACATACATTTATATGTACATAATTGCACATACTCACACATTTGCATTTGAGACAACAACTTAATTCACAACAACACATATGATGGGGATGATGACGACAACAACGACGATAGCGCTGCCTACAACGCCCGCGTCCCCAACGATGAAGTGCGCCGATTTAAACGGTGTAAGTGTGCATTTCTATATACACAATATATATGGTTAAGTCCATGCTTACATACATATATAAATGCACATAAAAAACATAGAAACCATAGTACTCATATTTGCAACTCACACTGTAAAGTCTATCTACATATATTCGCATCAGTACTCCGCTAGTTACAAAGCTGTAATATACGTATCTATGTACTTACACATAGATACATATGTATGTACGTCAGCATGCATTTTCGTAACACAGCAAGTGATGAGCGCATCGTGAGAGTAGCGTAGACGTTGACGCAAGCCCCATTCAATAGCGCCAAAACATTCACTACTGTCAAACGAAGCACTATACGAACACGACTGCACGGTATTGCTATAAACACACACACCTTTATATCTCTCTCCAAATGATATGTATGTATGTATGTACATCTTAACCGAGAGCGTAATATTTCCAATCGCTATCGAATGGGGAGCCAGAGTAGTAAACAGACTGCGGTACAGTGGGCATGTCGAAGTAAAATCTTTGTACACGTACTCCTCAGTAAACAATATCCACTAACTTGCCACTAACTTAATTTGCAAGAATCGCTCACAATGAGAGAACTATCCAAAAAGTACGAAAATGCTAACCTTGCAGGTAGTTACTAGTTTTATTAAAATTTAATTCAATAGGTAATTTTATTTTTTAATTTTTAACTTTACTATTCCGAAAATTGATTACCTTGTTTGTGTAAAATGCAGGAAGCAACATGTAAACAGCTGATCTTCTTGCTGGTAAATTGTTACAAGTAAAAATTTATCCAGTAAAAACCTGCAACTTTCCTTCCAAATTTTTCTCTGTTAATTTCCCCTTGCAAGTTTTTGTGTACGAAAACGCCGAAACATTTACATATTTGTTTATACCACGTAGTGGGTATAAGAACGCAACTAAAGACTAAGCTTGATATTGAAAATGAGAGCTTCCAAACTAAAGGGATATTAAGGAACTTGTTCGTATCGGGATCGTAAAGAGTTTAAGTAAATATTAGTAAAAAATTGCATGTATTGTTTCAATTTACAAATCATAAAATGGGGCCAGGCAGAAAGTTGAAAAAGTTGTCGTATTTGTCAAGCAAAAATGCATCAGGACTAACTTGAGATAAATCTTCAGATCTAAATACTTTTGACTTTAACGTATAGTCTACTCGAGAGGCAATATTTCACAATGAAATCACCGGCGAGATAAAAAGAGAGAATTATATATCGTGGAGTGGCGTACATGCGACACATGGACTAACGGTGATTCAAGTATTATGTAAACAGAGTTTTAATAAATTTTAACCCATCCTTCCTTGCCAGGAAAAGTAAGAACGAAAAAATCAAATCGAAACCCCGCCCCATTGGTGATTTGGAAATATGAACTTTAATAGCCTCCTATGTGAAAAATCTTTGAGGCAAAAAAAATGGCGCTTAAACTTTTACTAAGTGTTTGGCCGAGCTTCGATCCAACTTGTAGTCTAGGACCGGATTTTATAACACAAACGGAGTGACCTCCAATTTCCCGCCGCCTCCGCACAGCAGATGGTTCTTATGAGAAGCTTTCTCAAGGCAGAAAACACTCGGGGGTTTGGAATTGCCTGCCGAAGGGCCGACCGCTGCTAGAAAAGGGATTATCTGATTTTAGATTTTGCTCGGTACCTCGATCCTACGGAGTGGTAGTACGCACCTGCAACCAACCACTCGGCTACAGCGGCCGTCATACACATTATAAAGTTTTATAGATATAAAAAGCGAATTGTGCCACTGTCTGCCACTTCTGGTTGATAAGGAGAGTGGGCAATAAAGTAACAATTTCCTGTGCGAGAAAATGTTTGCAGAAATTCAACGAGAGATAGGACACACACATCCACAAATCAGTGAGAGGAAATCGAAAGAGCGAACGACATATCCGCCAAACATTTGAGTGCAAGTGCCAAATTTGTGTTGTCCAGTGGTACTCTGGTTTCTGTTGGATTGCTGTTAATTGTTGTTATTATTGCATTTTATACTACAAAAACTTATTTACTTATGTATATGTATTGCATTATTCTCGCCGCCCGCTTTCGTCAGTACTCTCCACAGCTGGCGCACACAACAACAAATACATAGAATAGCAAAAACAATAACAAACCAATGCGATTAAGACAACAATAACGAAAACCGACAACGAAATCGCAAGCGCAAAGCGGCAGTGGCACTAAAGCGACCCAGACCCACTGCGCTGAAGCGACTTATCGCCAATTGGGTTGTTCGAGTATCTACTTACTATATGCATATTAACACAAGACCATACATACATATGTAAGTATATACGTACATACCTTTAGCATTTAAATGCTTTTAAATATCCAAACCTAAGTTTAAGTACATGCATACTATGCACATTTATGTACATATACATACATACATACGCGTACCTACATAAATACATATGGCATATCCATGTACTTACTCTTGTTTGAAGTGGCTTTTGCCATTTCATCCGATTGCGTTCTAGATGGGCGTGTAAGGCGGTCGCAACTCAAAAGGAAAGACGGAAAAGGTGAGCGTGCTCTGCGAAGCAAAGGCTCCCTACCGCTTGCAATTTCCCGCCACAATCGAGGTGGAGACGGAAGCACAATTTGTGCATTCGGAAATATTGCACTGACTGCACAGCCAAAGGAAATCAATAGTTATTACAGCGTGCATTGCACTAAGGAAAGCTGAAGTGGAAATACACAAAGAATTATGCTTATCTTTTTACTACAGAGTTAACTCGAAAAATACACAATGCAGGCATACATACAAGGTGTATTCTTTTGCAACAGAGCTAAAAAAGAACACTTGGTAAATTAAAGAAATACATGTAAGCAACAACACAAACCCGGCTATTTATTCGAGCTCGGCTAAGTCCGTTAAAAAATACGCGACCCTATATGCGTTGTGTTGTTAAGTGAAAAAACGGTTATATTGTGAATTCTTGATGAGAAATTTTATGTACTATATACTTGATTCATATTTTAAACAAATATACACATAGATATAGTACGAAAATACTTTGCAAAATTACTTATTTCTTTGGATTTCCGTATATATTGAGCGTTCTTTTGCCGCTCGGTTAGAAAGAACCCTGCAGTAAATTGCGCTAGTTCTGAACTAGCGCAGAACTAGCTCTTTAAGAGCGGGTACTGGTTCTCGATCTATCCCAACGCAATGCTTTCAATTGTCTCTTTTTACATGGCGATGTCCTACGAAGTGGAAATTGCCACCTCTGCAGAACTTTCGAACTAGTTCTGAACTGGTTCAATTTTCGTCAGTTCTGGGACAATAAGTTTTTTATGAGAAAAAATTTTAAAACTAGATTTCTGGATATTTTTTCTTTTCTGAACTGTTTCCATTTTGGACAGATCTGCAACAATAAGTTTTTTATGAAAAAAATTTGATTATTTGATTTTTTGATATTTTTTTAATTTTTTAATTTGTTCATTTTATTTAATATTTTTATTCTCTTATTTTATTTATATTAAATTTTATCATTTTCGCTTCAATTTTTAAGCGGCATTCAACAATTTAAATTTATTAAATCTGAAAATCACAACTGCCTCCACCGCGATTTGAACTCGCGACCAACGATGTTAGAGTCGGAGGTCTTCCCGCTGAGCTATTTAGTATTGTACGAGAAATGAGAATTTGTGCATTTACTTCTCAACAGAGCGCAACTAGCACACCAAGACCTTCAACTGTCCCGTTCTGCAGTCGTTTTGCACCAGTTCAGAGATAGTTCTGACTTGTCAGACTGTCTCCAAATTTTACTGCAGGGAAACGAAGCTATATCCACTTACATATGTAGGTACACCCCGTGCCAAAATAATAACCGCACCACATATTGACACGTTTGAACAATTTATATTTTATTATGCGCAGCACTTTTCAGGCTGTGTGGAAATGGTTATTTTTAAAAAGTAAAATAAAAATGAAACTGAATTTTTCGTTAATTAATTTTAATACTTTTTTATGAAAGTATTGTTTTTCTTTAACAAATACCTTTATACAACCCTAGTCTCAAACTTTGTGCAATATTTAAAAAATTCAACAAACTTTCGTAAAATCTCAAAGCTTTTTAAAAGACTTTGATTCTTTATTTTTGAATTTTAGTATAGTAAAGTGCAAGTTCGAAGTATCTAGGGCTTGCCGCCGATGTGTGGCAATTTTTTTATGAAGGTGTTATGAAGTTTTTTCTATACGAACATTTTTTCTATATGGAAGAATATCAGCATCATCTTAAATAAAAAAATTGCGAAAATCAACGGTAAGTCCTAGCTACGTCAAACTTGCACGTTATTGCTTTGTTAAAGGGAAAATATATTTTTATAAAAAAAAATATTATAAAGTGTGCACAATTACGAATTTAATAATTTCGAATTAAATTTTTTGTTTTTTTTTTTATTTTTCTTTAAAAATATTATTCAAGTAATAACCAAAACCATATAAATCACAGTTTCAAACTTTATACAAAATTTACGAAAATTCAACAAATTTTTATTAAAATTTCAACTGAATCTTTAGAACGTATAATTTTAGTCTAATAAAGTGCACGTTTTAAACGGATTTCTGCCCTTTTTGTCAATATAAGCTTGAATTTCACATGAAAAAAATGCGGGAGACCGTTCGCAACAAAATTTCAAAAAATCAA